CGTCCCGCCTGCCCCCCGGGCCCCGTGCCCCCGCCGCGACCCGCCCCAGGCCGCACCTGCAGGTGGACGTCGGGTCCAGCAACAGCTGCTCGGGGCCCCACCCAAAACCCCTTTCGGCGGCGCGGGCGCCAGCAGCGTTGCGGTGCAGCCGACTGAGTCTCCTATACCTCCCATATAGCTCCGTCCTTGTCGCACTCATAGGGCAGCTCTCCATCGTATTGCAAAAAGGTTTAGGGTCAGTGAGCCAGCAGGTTCGCGGCCGGCGCGCTGGCTGCCCTGCCGCGCTGCAACAGGTGTTGGACAGGTGGAGTGCGTATCGTCCTGCCGGGGAGCGTCACGGCCACGTATCATTGTGCCCGGGTCCCCTCGACGCTGCCGCTGCTGCCGCTGCTGCCGCTGCTGTTGCTGCCTTTTGGCTGCATTCTGCGCGCATTCCGTTACCCATTCTTCAGGCCGAACATAATGCGACAAGTGTGCAGCGAGCACGCACGCACACAGACGCCCGCGCGCCGGTCTGTGTGTGAGTGTGTGCGCGGGCGCGCGAGTGTGAACCACTGGAGGAACCACTCTCTTAGTGGGGCACGCTGCTTGTAGTCGGTAGCAGTCAGGTAGGAGGGGACGGGGTCGCGAGAGCAGCTCCACGACCACGACATACGCGACAACTCTTTCTGATTTGACTATTTGGACTGTCAGCACCTCGACACAAACTCCCCACGAGCAATAATTGCAGGCGATAGAGATGAGATTCTGTATTTTTCCGCGGGGCCGTGGGGGGAAAGGGAGCAGGAGCAGGACGCTATGCGCCTGCTTGAGCTCGCTGCGCCAACTCGCCAACCCCCGCCCCTCCCCGCCTCGGCGCAGCTGCCATTCACCTCGACACTCATCCCGGGATTACACGGAGCCAATAAAGAATCTGTTCCCGGACTGAGCCGGGGCTGCGATTCCAATGACTCGGAGCCATTGATTGCCGCAGTGCGCGGAACTGCGCCAGAGCCCTGCGGCCTGCGGCGTGTCCGCAGCGCAGGCCAATGGATCGCAAAATTCCCCAACAACGCCCGTCGCGCGCGCGCCATCCGGGTGTCCTGCTCCTCGACGCGGAGGTGTTGCTCCCGGTGGGCGTGCCGGACGGTGGTCTGCTGGGCCAGCAAGGGCTTCTTGTCCAGGTAGTGGAGAGAAAGAGCGGGGGACGAGGAGGGGGAGGGAGGAAGAGGGAAAGGAAGGGGCGAGCCGAGCGCGATGGCGCTACCGGATCAGCGTGACACGCATCACCTCGCCCAAATTGTTTCAGATAATCCTATCCCCCGGATCCTGGTGATGATGATTTTGTGTTGTGCGACCTGCAGTCGTTTATTTCCAACTGTAGGAGAGCCTTCGGCGCAGCCGTAGTCGGTGGTCGTCGCGGTGCTTTCACGGGCCGGCGACGGCGGGAGGAGAGCGGCCGCGAAGCACCGCGCCGACTGGAGAGCGGCGCGGTGGGCTCTAGAGGGCGGGGCGGGAGAGCCGGCCCCGGCTCGTGCAGAGGAGATCGAGGCGAGCAACAACGGGACGGTCTGCGCCAGCACCGGCACCGGGGTCCTCGGCGTGCCCGGACGAGCAGCTGCAGGCGTTCTCGGAACACGTCAACGACGAGAGGAAGGGCACGGCGACGAGGAGGGGCATGCACTCGGGCATGAACCAGCGCCCCGGGGGAATGAACCCTGGGCCGTCTTCAGCGACACACACACGGCCTCGTAGGGGGAAGGGTAACCCCGCACTAGAGTGCTAGAGTGTTAGACGTTTGGAAGGAAGGGGGTACGACAGGACAGACAAAAAATAGTGTTAGAGATGTAAAAACACGGAGGGAGTGCAAAAAAGTTATAATTTTGTATTTTTGATACGAAATATGATTACCGCACAGAGAATATATCTTTACAAAAATTGAAGGATAATGAGTGACTTTTATTGATAACTCCGTTGGGGACAATGATTTCTTTTTAGCTTATGTGGATGACATTTAACAAACTGATTGCTGGGAATTTTGTGGACCTATGATTTAACATAGTCAGCGAGACCATACACAGTGGTCATGCCGCGCTCCACGCGTTAATAGAGAAGGCCAGTAGTGGTGCTTGTGTGCATGAATTGGGGGTGTTGTTCATGGAGCCCGACTGTGTGTAAGTTGTAATAGCGGCCCCTGGCCCGTATCGTGTACCACCTGTCATTTGAATTTGAAACCGCACCTGCAGGTGAGCGACATTCCTTTTGTACACTTAGGGGGGTAAACGTGTGAATTTTCTAGGAAAAATTCACACCTTTACCCCCGTAAGTGTACGAATGGAATGTCGCTCACCTGCAGGTGAGCGACATTCACACACTTGCATTTCCAGTGCATGTAGTGCGTCGTCCAAGCCAAGGGGTACGTCACTGCGGAAATTGCCCGAGTGAGTGTACTTTACACTGTCAAAAAAAATTGGTCGTCACTTCACAATTTTCCTCTCCTTAATCGGTTTGACAAATATGTCGTCACAGGCCATTGGCTAATACGTCTCCAAGTGACAAATTCATAGTCATTTGATTTATAATAGTCAAAGTATTGCGAAGTATTCACGTGCAAAGTAACAATCTGGCGACAATAAATAATTTATCACATGCCAAAAAGTATAATAATTTTTAAGAATGGTACTGATTGAACAGATTGGATTGTTTGTGACATCGCCTGGTTCGAACAACTTCGTCAAGAATCAAAAGTGCATTGCGCACGTGCACATCCTATTGGGCGTTTAGGTGGTCGAACGAATCTGCATACCAACGGAAGGTACGCGGAGTCAGCGAGAGCCAACGGCTTCTGTTTCCCACAGTGGTTTGCGTGACGACTTCTAAATTAAGTGACAACATATTTGTGAAGTGACTAGTGGTCAGTTATGTCACAAAACATTAATTTGGAGATAAATAATTTGTTTTATACAGTGTGACGACTAATTTGTCATTTTCATTAAAACAAGGGATTCATCACACATTCACCACACTCATTTGTTCCATAGGTCGAGACGAATGTTTTGTCACGATATTTATTGTCACTTCACAAGAAGTTTTTACAGGGTAGCGACCTTAGCTAGAAGTCAATACATTAGTTGTGACTAGATTTGATTGGGGAAAATTAATGATTGACAAATGATTGGGTGGGAAAATGACTGTTACACTGACGAGACAAAGTGGTGTGCCCCTCACAGTCACCTGTCACCTCCCACACTGGGTCAGTGTGGGTCAGTGCAACTGGCATGCAGGTAATGCCAAACACATGGTGGTGCTGCACGGCCTTCTCTGCGTGGGCGGAGGTCGACCACCCCGATCCGGCCCGCGCTGCCCTCCAGCCAGACACTACTATGTATATACTACGCCCACCCCGGAGACAGAAACTCCCAGATCTCGTTCCGCGAAGTCCAAGTCATCGACGTCGTTCCTTTGCTCTATGTAACCGGCAGCTCTCCGAATGTCCGAGAACGCGCGGATTCGTCACCCGCCCCACCCAGCGCGGCGTGGCGTGTGGCGTAGCGGAGCGTCGCACGTGAAAGGGTTGGAGAAAGCTTTTAGCGCGGAAGGATGAAGCACTGCGCTCCCTGCTCGCCCGCCCGAGCCCGCCCTGCACAGCAGCCTCCCCTCCCCTCCCTGCACGTACGTATACGTCTGTTCCAGAGAGCGCCTGGAGGGTAGGCACCGCGGTCGCAGGGGGGCATGGTGGCGGCCTAAGCGCCGGGGCGCTCTGCGCGGGTCCGCCTCGCCCCGCTGCCCGCGCTGCCCGGCCCGCCCCGTCGTGAAGCCTCGATGGAGCAGAGTGCAGAGAGGCACCCAGCTCAACGAAAGGGCGGAGAGTGAATCAGGGAGAGAAGGGCGATTGGCGGGGAAGAGGGGAAGCAAGTGCATCCGGCATGCCTCATCTCATTCCCTCTGAGCTCGATCTGTGTTTGCACAGCGGAGGTATGCGTCTTTCAAAAAGTATGAGACATAACTGACAAATCCGGACTAGAGCTCGCACGCAGCCACAAACTTTCCTGACGTGGTCGAGCTGACCGCGAATTTCGTCAGGTTATCGGCTGGATCAGCAGACGTAGATCTGGTGTACACAGAAGCGCATTCGCGCACGGCCGCGCGCCACCCGGCCGGCTCACGTAGGCCACCGTGTTGTGCGACACAATACGATAAACAAATGCATATTTTCAGGGGTGTGGGTGAGGGTGTAGGTGTGAGATTAAATAAAGTATATTTGCGTCGATGACTCCCGCGGTACTTGTATTCCTAGTGTACCTACCACCGGCAGGTCAGCCACTTGCACCTGATGTAATACACCTCCCTCCCCCACCCTCTGTCTCAGCGCTCACCCCTCCCCCTCTCCTCCACCGCCCCCTACCACCACCACCCTGGCCGCCGCCTCAGCATCCTATACAGACGTGAGGCGGGGCGGGGCGCTGCGAGGTGTGGTGGGGAGGGGAGAGCAGGGCGGGGTGGGGCGGGGCGGGGCGGGGCGCGGTGTGCCCCAACGTGCTCGTGCCAGTAGCTCTAGCAGTCAGACCCGACCCGCCCGCGGCAAGGCACGGACCTCCGAGAGACAGGACTCGAGACGGGTCGAGGCGACGGGACCGACGGCCACCGACGGCGACCTGAAGTGAAGTGAAGTGGCAGCGTGCGCCCGTACCGCCCGGGCACTTGCGCGCTCCGGGCCGCATATCACGTCGCCGAGCTCGACACCCTCCGCGACGACGTCCCTCCGCGACCAGCACGCCAGCGTCAACATCACCATCAACAACAGCGTGTGTTTGCGTGTGCGTTAGTGACGGACCGGTGGAGTGAGTGAGTGAGTGAGTGACCTGGCTGCGTGTTCAGCGGCTCCCCGCAGCAGCAGCAGACCAGCACGACCAGCAACCCACGACAGGTGAGCGGGTGAGAGAGGCAGACGCGGGGAGAATGCGGCGATGAGCATCGCGGATTTACTACTTGTTCTGGGAAAGGGCCGGTGTGATACTGCGAAAATGGTCTCGCGGACGTGATGTAGGGCACGGGCGTGGTGCACGCGGCGCGGCCGGCCGGTGCTGCGGCGGCGGGCTGGACTGCGGCCGTGCCGTGTCGGGCAGGTCCACCCGGGCCGGGCCGGCCGGGCCGCCGCGAGTACGAGTGACGCTCCGCGCTGAGCCACGCCGCGACCGGCCGCGACGGGAAGGCGACAGCTGAGGCGTAAGCGTAAGGGAAGGGGGCGCTCCCCCTGCCGCACACCACACCGCCCCGCCCCGCCCCGCCCGGCTCGGCCCGCCGCCCGGCGTCGCGGCGCTGTGCGTCCGCCCGCCCGTCCATACGCGAGCGTGCGCGCGCCGGGTCAGCACCGCACAGCTCCGCCGGCACCGCGTCCGCAGGAGCCGCGCCGACACGAGGCCCCCCAGAGCCACTCGGACCAGACGCGCACCTCCAGCGACCCTGAGGACCTCACCTGCGCCGCGACGTCACCAAGACGCCGTCGCCTCTCGCCTCGGCCTGTATCCGCAAAAGTAAGGTGGCCGGCGGCAGCCGCGTGAGCGGGCGGGGCGGGGGAGGGGGATTTGGAGGGGGGGGGGGCTGTTTTCGTCTGGAAGGAAAACACAACAAACACGGTGCGTGTAGCTGGTCCACCTGGCAGGCCGGGGGGCGGGGTCAGGGGGCCTTACTGGGAGCATTGCAGCAGCGTTTGTTGCCCCTTCCCCTTCCGAGCCGTGGCGGGGCGGGGCGCCACGCCGGCGCCAAACTTGGATTTCCTGCCGCCGAGTCCCGCGGCGCGGAAAACAGACATTCGCGTTACCCCCTTTCCCCTCCTTCCGCCTTGCCCCGCAGCGCCAGATGACCCTACATGTGGTCGGCGCGGTGCAGCGCGGCGGAACACTACGGCCCGCTGTTCCGACCGCGGCGCGCGCGCGCCCCGTCCCGCTGCAGCAGCAGGGCGCGGGGCGGCGGCGCGGCGGGGCGGGTACTGCAGGGCGGCGGCCAGTGTAAATACACAGCGAATACGCAGTGCATTGCCCCCGTCGAGGCGCGGCGGTGCCTGCCCCCTGGGGGCCCGGGGACCACTCCCACCCCCGCCCCGCCCGCCCCCGGTGGCGCTGGCGCAGTGCTACGCGCTACGCGCCCCGAGCGCGTCGCCGCGAGCCCTCAAAGGCCATGTCGACCACCACCACCAGCAGCCCCACTCCCCGACCAGCGGCTCCTACCAACCACGCCACTCCCCATTGGACGTTGCGACGATCTCGTTCGTCAAGTCGTAAAAACTTGCACGCCCGTCGCTCGGTTCACCCGCGCTTCCCCGCGGCGCACGCTCTCCTCCTCTCACTCATTTCCGCAACTCTTACGTACTGCGCGTTCCTAGACACCCGCCTGCAGTGCAGTTCCCGTGAAAAAATGCGAAATATTCGCGCGAGTGAGGCAGGAGTGGGAAAGGGGGAGGGGGAGGAGGACCGCCAAGTAATATCATCACTAGCGATGCTCGTGCAAATAGTCGGTGTTTTGCGCCGCCTCATCCTCTCCTGCCGCCGTCGCCGTGGCATGAACGAAAGCCGTAAAATGTAGCGCGGCGCGGTGAATGGAGGCCTCGGCGAGGCGGGCGCGGCCGGGCCGGGCGGCGCCGCGGCGCCTCGGGAGGCGCAGCCCGCGCAGCGGCAGTGCAGCCTGATGCAGCCCGTCGCCGCACAGCACCACAGACCACAGTAGCCGCCGCCGTGGTCCGCACGGGCTGGCCATGGCCGAGGTGAGGCGGTCCCCGAGGAAAGTGCAGCACGCCACTGCTTCACTTCTTTTTGTTGTCAATCTCTCGTGTTCAATAATTTCCCTGCTCGATGAGTCTTGTCCAAACCAGTTTACTGGTGGGGCAGGCCGCTGCTGGCATGGTACCCCACCACGCCCCGCCGCGCCGCCCTGGCCGTGCCTCGTCGTTCACGTGCGGGTATCCCCAGGCGGGTTCGTTCTGAAATCCTGCGTCCTACGCGGCCGACGCTTATCTCCTGGGCGCCACCATTCGCCCGGCCAGCCCCGGAAGCAGGGGATGAATCCGAGAAACGTAAACGAGATTATTGCATTGTGGGGTCAGCGCCAGGCTCGCTACCTGTCCCCGCAATTCATTTCCTAATTACTTGCTGGCTCAGGCTTGGACCCGGCTGACTTTCCCGTCGTCGTGCTGGACGCCATTGGGCCGGGCAGTGGCCGGGCTGGGCGGGCCTGTTCCGTTGCGTTCGCGGAACGGCCGAGGGCAGAATGGAATGGAGGCGCCCGGCACGGAGACGACGCGTGGCCTCGGCGGCGCTCCGGGGATCAGCAGCAGGCCACGCGGGGCCCCAGCCGGGCCCCAGGAGCCCCCGGTGGGGACCTCGGCCCGGGACCGGCTGCCGGGGCGGGCAGCGTAAGTACGAGACCCCAGACAGCGTGGAGCCGGGCGCAGAGCTGCACAGGGCGAGGGGAAGCCTGTAATCCGCCCCGTCCCGTCGGCTGCGTCCGCTCTGTCGCCGCGCTTCGACGAAGGACCCGGAGACTATACTGCGGCGCCCCGCGGGGGCTCAGGCAGTGCCACCCGACCGACCAACTCTTGCGGATGCACCCTCCGCCGTGCGCTTCGGGAACACCCTGTAGCTCACAGTCGCTGCTAGGGCCACTAGCGGGGGATTCACAATTAGCATGTGGACGATGGCGGAGGAGGGCCCCATACTCGCGGGCTCCGCGCACGCCGTCGACTTTGCCAGAAATTGGCACATGTTCGCGCGCGGGGACAGCAGGCCGGGCGTGATACACATCGCGGTTCTCGCTTAAGCCTCCAACCACGCCACGCCACGCTACGCCACGCCTAACTCGGAATCTCCATCTCTCTTTCTCACTATATCTTTTTTTTTTTTGTATGTGTTTTTCGTCTTTTACGGCCGGCTCACCTTCTCGTGCCGGGTGTTGGCAGCACTGCTTTGAGTGGTAAAGCGTCCGCGGCCGGCGCTAAGCAGGGCGGTGAGTCATTTTCATATCAAAACAAAAAGTCGCCCCCCCCCCTTCCACCTACCCGCGCCGCCGCCCCGCGTTTCATTCATTGTCTCCGCGACTCCTTCGTCCCGCCGCGTCCCGCCCGCCAGGAGGCGAGGCCGGCCGGCTGCCGTCAGCGCGTGGCGCAGCCAGTGGCGCAGCCTAGCGGCTGGTGTATATTGAAAATTATTTGACCGGCAACCGACTGTTTTCTTTTCGTCCCCTCTCTGAATAATTGTGGTACACAATAGCGTATCACTTTCGGGGGGGG